GCCACCGCTGCCACTAAGAAATGCCGCCTCAAGCCCCACACCACAGCCAGCCATCCCACCACCATTGGGCAAAGCCCCAGTTGCCCCTGCCACCCTGCCTGCCACAGGCTCTGCTGCGCCCAGCTGACCCTCCCGCTGCTGATGAGGCATGCCCGGCCTGACCCTACTGCATGCCAGGCAGCTGCTGGCCCTGCCAGGCCATTCTCCAAGCCGCTCGCACCATTCCTTCTCCAAATCACACACCCCATGCTCAGGATCCTTCAGAAACCTTCTAGTCTTCCCCAGGTCTTGTGAGAACGGGCACGCTACTTGGAAAGGGAATGGGGCATGCAATTTGGAGAATGAGGTCTTCTGAAGCACTGCAAGAAAAGGGCTCCTGCCAGATCAGATGGGGTGTGATCCGTTCCCTTAAATGCTGTCATCTAGTGGGACCTAGGAAGCATGCCTTCTCTGTTGCTCCCCCTGCTCTGTGCATGCCCTTCCCCAAACACCCCTATGCTCTTTGCCTTCTGGAAGGCTTTGAAGAGCTTGCTCTTCCCACAACCACTGTGGTAGAATGAGGCTGGAGCCCAGTAAGGTGATCTGCTGATGAGTAAGAGACTGTTGCCCTGGGGTACCATGAGTTTTTATCGCGGTTGTTCTTTACTGGCTTTTTGTTTTGTGAGCCACCCAGGGTTATGGTCCATAATGTGGGTGGCTATTTAAGTCATATAAATAAATTTGGCCCCTTTTATACAACAATTTTGCCTAGAGCGCTAACCTGAAAGTCGTCATTTTCCTAGCATCTTAGTATTAAGAACAGCTGGAAATTCATTTTCAGAATCAGTCTCTACAGTCTTTTATTTTTTTGGGGTGCCTTCAAATCATTTTTGATTCCTGGTGACTGCCTGGACTAGGCAGTTTTCTTAGCAAGGTTTGCCTTGGCTTTCATCTTCCTAGGGCTGAGAGGGGTCACCCAGCTGGCTTCATGGCTAAGACAGGACTAGAACTCATGGTCTCCTGGTTTCTAGCCTTGTGCCTGAACCACTACACCAAACTGGCTCTCCTACAATCAATATGCAGTTAGATTTAGGGCTTGTCCATGTTAAATGGACATAACAATTAAAGGAGACAACACCTGAGCTGCTCTTCACAGATTGTCTTTATAACAGTTGAAGGTGGGCCTGGGAAATGTATCTTAGAAACCTTATACCAAACTTGGTATAAGGCCAAGAATTTGGTTAGGAAATCTGAACTACATTCAAAGGTCTAGCTTTGTATTCCATCCAGGATCTTCTACTGCTGGAAAAGCAGTACAAGTACCTCCTACAAATTAAGAATATTCTGGCAACAATTAATAGCTGCATCTAAACCTAGGAAACCAGCCTGATTTTGGTACTTGTTAGCTTCTCATTCAATTCTCATTGCCCTATCCCCTACCAGCAACGCTGAGAGATTTGTTTTACAACATTCTATGCACAAGATGGTTTGCCTGGGGTTTAATATCAACCTGCTTTCTACTTGGGCCTCTGCCACAAGTTATGAAATAATATGCCTTATTAAATAATCTAACCATGGTAAAGCCCCAGGCAGTCATTTCATCATTGCTGAAGTCCTATGTAGTAACTTGGAATAGTGGACACTTACATTAGGTTCCCTGTTTATTTACATTGACCATACTTTAGTATTGCACAAATACCAAAGGATGGGAGTTTAGCTATTATAGTCCACATTTACAAAAAGAACAACTGAAATTTGCCTGCCAATATTGGCTCATCAGCCTTTTAAGCATAATAAATAAGCTGTATGTCAAATATTTACATAATAAACTGTCTGATTGGGTCAATTCAGTTCAGAGTCTATTTTGGCAGGCTTTAGAAGTGGACATTCTATTTTTAACCATACCCTTATGCCGCAACACCTGGCTGAAAAATATTCATCCAAGCCAGGCTCTGCATTATACACCATATTCATTGACTTCAGGTCTGCATTGGATCTCATTTCCAGAACAAGCAATGGCATAAACTCATAAACGTTAATATACTAGACAGCTACTTCTGCTAATGTATAAATTTTATGGGAACTCCAGAAAAAAGGTTTGCTGTAGCATGCAAGGCTACTATTCTAAAGACATTCTGACTCAGACTAAGACAGGAATGTATTTTGGCTCTCCTGGTCTTTAATTTGCACATCAAACCTCTTGTGGTCAAAGTAATTTAGAGCATTAGTCCCCTCCCAACTAGCTGATAGGCACATTGCAACATTATATGCAGATGATGTTGTGCAAATATTACCTGGACTAAAATGAGCTTTCAGTGCCCTAGTTCAATATAACTTTTTAAGAACGATATATTAAGAGGGCCCATACGTACCTAAAGTAGTCCTAAGCAGGGAAGTAGGGTTGACTAAAGGAGGAATGGGTGCATGGATTTGTATTATGACCAACTGGTTAACATTATTATTGTTTTCAGAAGATCTGTGCTCTTAGCTCATTGCAGACAGTTATAAGTCA